CAATCATTTATCATTTTAAGGAAAAATATAAAGAAAACTACTCAGAATTCATGAAGAAAACACAACCACACTTAAGTTTGACATAATTAGGGAAATTTACGCAGAGTTATTTTTTCCTACTTGCAGAAAGTTCAAGCTCAATACACAATCCCTAAGACCTTGCTCAAACCTCACAGCTCACGTCCATTTTTTTCTTCTACTTCTCTTCCACAAATATAAGATCTTTATCAAATTTCAAGTCCTCACCTGCGACACGGAACCCCTTAGAAGGATGTAATAATATATACATGACAAATAACATATGATAAAACATGGTGGAATTAGAATTTTACATCTAGAGGAAACTAAACAAACTTAAAAGTCAGTTTATATATTTAACCGTAAATTTTTATATTAAATACTCCAAATTTTTTTCAATTATTTAGGCCTAATTTGGGGCAGCTTATAAGTGCGGCGTCGTTTTTGAAAATGCCGTCGTACTGGTTTTTTTGTATGTTTGCACTGCTTATAAGAAAATGATGTCTCTAATTTAGTGGATACATGATTGCGGGTATAACCCTGCGATCAACGCTCCGAACGCCCCCCTCGGTATCCTTTTACCACTTGCCCCTCTCCCGCGCGATGCATTCTCGGTGCCCGCTCTAAGTGCACAATGATTCTCGGTGCCGCTCCTCCGCACTTCCCCCAATCACCCGAGAGTGGTAAGAAATTGCTATCCTCTTCTCTCTTCTTCACTCTTTTATTCTTTTTTTAATCTTCTCCTCCCCCGCTCTGCTCTAAATCGTGATCCTGAAGTTTCGCCCTAGATCGCGATCAATGCTTCTGTTCGCCATCCCGATAGCATCTCGCCATTGCCTCTGTTCGCCATTTCGATCGCGTCTTAACATTGCCGCTCTCAGCTTCCTTTCGGCATCCAGGTATGAACATTTATGTCACTTTGAATCTAGTATAATGACTCCTTTCGGCATCCAGCTTCACAAATTTGTATTTATATGAGATAAATTGCATGGTTTACAGTTCCAAGCCTTTCATTGTTGTGGCGTTAAAGTGTTTTCGTCCATGATGCAAACAATAATTTTCCTACAAGTGATATTTTAATCTTTTTATTATGTAATTCAAATTGTGTGCTGATTTGTTTTCTTGCTAAACCTTTTCCCGACAAGGACCTCATTCACTTTTATGCAATAAACTATTAAATTGAGTGGTTGTATTCTCTATTTTAATCTTCTTCTTCTGCATATTCTCTCTGTCTATTTACATTCAAAAAAAATAATGTGTTAATATTTTCTTGTGTGGAGTTCTACATTTTTAAACACGACTCAATGGCACCCCTATAGCGATAGTTAGGAAACTTAACATATTTTTTTATAGTGATAGTATTAACTCAATGTGAAATAGTTCATATCACAAATTCTTTCCCAAATATTTTTCTAATATTAAGGTCTTCTTCAATGTTTAAGGCTTTATTTGATTTTTGGATTTTGTATGCTCAAGTTAGTGGATTTTTTATGTGAAATTGTTGTAGCATTATTGGATTTTTTATGCTCATGTTATTAAATGCATTTTTTTCTTATTTGACATTTCACTAGTAAGGACTGCAATGAATAAGAACAATCAAGTTGGATCATCTGTCATGTGGGATAGGGAAGCAACAAATATTTTATGTGAGCTCTGTCTTAAGGAGGTGGAGCTAGGAAATAGACCTACAACATATTTTAACAAAAAATGTTAGCAAAATCTTATTGTCGAATTCAAGGAACTGATAGGTAGAGACTATGACAGGATGAAATTTAAGAAAAAATGAGATCAATTAAAGAAGGATTGAAAATTTTGGAAAGAAGTTAAGAGGGGAACTACAAGTTTGGGCTGGGATCCAACGAAGCGAATCATAGATGCTCCCGAGGATTGGTGAGCTGAGAAACTAGAGATAAAAACTTACCTTATACCATTTCCTTATTTAAATTTTAGCTATATTGAACTGATTTAAGTAATTCAATTTTCTATGTCGTGCAAGTCGTGCCAACAACTAAGAAATTCAAAATGAATGACATTGATCCAACAATGGAAGAGAAGTTGGATGGTATGTTCAGTGGGGTTGTTGCAACGAGAGCACATGCTTTCACCCCATCTGAACCTAACTTCATTGGCACAGCTGCTGTTCTTGGAACTGATAATGTATGTGGCTCAGGAGAAGTGCCCTGCAAAATCCATAGGTCAGTGGAATCATCATCCGTTCCAAAACGGTGTAGGGTGGAGAAAAGGAAGAAAGGAGCCGCATTCGTCAGAAGCACAATCGAAAAACTTGTTGAATCCTGCACTGTTAAGCTTGCTTCATCACAGGATATATCCGTTGAGGAGTGCCTTCGAATCCTAAATACACATGCTGAGGTTAAGGCGGACAAGAAATTATATCTCAATTATGTTAAGTTACTACAAGATCCAATCCGTAGAGAATTTTTCGCGAAGTTAGAAGCAGAATACCAAGTCAATTTCTTACGTTCCTTCTTGGAAAACTGAATGTTTTGAAAGCTTGTCGTTTTGTTTTCTCATAACTGTTTGTAATGTCGTGACAGGGATCACTATTTTTTTCCTAGAGTTTTTCTTATATGCAATCCTTATAGTTAATATTTTAGTTCTCATATCTTATGTGGTTATATGTTATATGGATGCCTTTAAATGGTTGAATGTTTTAACTATTCTCTTTAAACTAATTTTCGTAGGATGAATCCAGAACAATTGCAATATGTTAGAAAAATTGTGTTTATTCTTACTTTGTTATTCGACTACTACCTCACATATATCGGCCAAACTCCATGTATAACATCGTGATATGTTGGCGATAAATAGGTTGGTGAGTTACTACAAGGCCATCCGACACGTTTCGCAAACATGTTCCGAATGACGAAATAGATTTTCACTGATCTGCTCTATGAACTACAACACCAACATGATTTGAATGGCTCGACCAAAATGACATCAAGAGAGGTGCTAGCAAAAACACTATATATTATCTCAGAATGAGTCCATTAGAGGAGTCATGGAGCGATTTCAACATTCATCAGAGACTATCAGTAGGTATTTCTCTATTGGTCTGAATGCTCTAGTAAGTTTAGTCTCTAAGTTTGTTAAGCCTAAGGATCCTACATTTCAATCCATCCCGACACAAATTGCGAATGACCCTCGCTACATGTCATTCTTCAAATATATCTTAAACATCTCATTTCTATATTAAAATTAGTTACCTCTCAATCATTAATAGATTATACATTATTAAATTTAGGATTGTATATGAGCTATTGATGGAACTCACGTTGATGCACGTGTATCTGGCACTGACAAGGTGACCTACATTGCACGATGTGGTTCTCCCACATAGAATGTCATGGTCGCTTGTGATTTTAACATGTGTTTCACATTTGTGATGGTCGGATGGGAAGGCAACACACACAATAGTCGTGTTTTTAAGTTTGCAACAAGATGTCGAACTCATTACTTCTTGTACCCCCTCATGGTATGTAATTATATCAAATATATTAGATATTTATGAGTCGTTACTAAATTATGTATTTCGTGCAGGTAAATATTATCCAGTTGACGTCGGATATCTCTTACAAATGGGTTATCTAAAGCCTTATGCTGACACAAAGTATCACATTCCCGACTATGAGAGGTCAAGTGGGATTGCACGTGGCAGAAAGGAAATGTTCAACAAATGACACTCCTCTTTACGCGGTGTCATTGAGAGGTCATTCGGGGTATGGACGAAGAGACCGGTGATATTATGTGACATGCCAACCTACCCATTTCCGAAGCAAGTACAAATAGTTGTGGCAACCATGGTGCTGCACAACTACATCCGACGCCACAACTCTTGCTCTGATGTGGACTTTGCATCTGTAGAAGAAGACTTGCATCAGATTCCACAAGAAGCATTTGAATTCATTGTCGGACATCCCATACCACAGGAAGAATCCGAACATGCTTACAATCGCAAATGTGAAGGTGCAAGGGAAATGGCCGCATTCCGAGACCAGATAGCGGACGAAATTGCTCGATCATGAGACTGTTTTTCATTGGTCCTTAAACTGTTTAAAGCATTTTGCATTTTAAAATGGTGTAGTTTTGTATTTTCTGTTTGATGCAAACATTTTTAGTTGATGTAATGAATGATTTGGACGGTATAAATGTAAAATGTGGAATTTTGATGTTAGATATGTAAATAGATAGGAATTGGGCGGTATGTATGTAAATGCCCTTCTATTTTTAAAAGTTTTACATGCATAACACACAATTCTTATATGTTTACATTTCCAATACTTAAAATTTGATATTTACTTATATACTCCTTATGCATGAAAAGATCTGAGTGGTATAGATGTAAAAATCAAATTTTAGGTGTTAGATATGTTAATACATAAGAATTGGGTGGTATGTATGTAATTACCCTCTTTTTTTCATTTTTCAGCAATCAAACTTTTTGCATTTGCTCTTAAAAAATTTAAGAGTTTGGTAGCAAGTGATTCCAAATTATACTGTTGCAGAGTTATGTATTTTTATTTGGCCACATATGATTTATAAATATGCTTTATATATTTTTTTATTTGGCCACATGATGGCCAGTAATCGTTCAGCAGTAGCGGTAAGAATTTTGCCGCTGTTCTCTCTACATCAAGTTGCTCCAGGAAATGCAATTATATAGACTTCTTATATAACTGTTATGTGGAAATGTTGTTGTAATTTGCTTCTTTTACGATTATGTAGGTTTGAGAGGCTTGATGGTCATTTATAGTGTAGTTATAAATGTGATATTTTTTATGTGATATGAAGCATAAATGTAAGTAGTAAAAGTTTAGGTGTTATCTATATAAATATAAAGGATTTGATGGTATGTATGTAAATGCCCCATGCATAATTAACATTCATTATTAAATCATTATTTCTCACAAAATACTTTCTAATTTCAAAGGAATACAACGGAGAACAATGGTTAGAATAGAGAAAAAGAAAAAAAAAAACATTTGCATAATAGATCATTTTTCTACAAACAGCACAAACCAAACAACTAAACAATTTATCTAAAATAGGGGCAGAATGATTGTTTATCCAGAATCAGCTGTTTTCCAGACTCACAAATCAAACAACCAAACAATTTATCTGGATCCGCTGCTCCTAAGCAAATTATCAGAATAAACTGCTTATCGACAGAAGCTGGATAAGCTACAGCTGCCCCAAACAGACCCTTAGTCAACATCAACCCATCAGTCCCCCTTGCTCTGTAACATAGATCAGAGGTCAATCAAAGTTAAAAAAAGAATCACAATCCTCAAAATTCATCTCAGCTATTGCCGAAGTTTAACCTACCAAGATCAAACATAAGCAAGGAAATTATCACTAGCAAAAAGATAAAAATAAAAAAACAATAGAAATAATTAAAAAGCGAGCGCCCCATGAAAAGAGTAAATTATTCTGATGCATAACAAAAACATTGATACAAACTCTCCAAATCTCGAATTTTGGAAAGATTAAGGAGTACAAAATCGCTCGACATTTCAAAACCAGAATTACTACCATCATCATTTGAAATGTTAAAAAATAAGAAACAAATACAATGCGACTAAAATAATAATAAAGTCGGAGAAACACGAATTCGCCGCAGAAATCAATAAGCAACATACTTTTTCTCCGTCATTTCTTCTAATCCCTTGAGCCACAAATCAGCAAATTCACAATCTTTGTATTTCTCAAACCAAGGCCCGCCAGATGTGTAATGGAGCGCCTTCGGAAACGTGGACGGATCATTCTCATCTACCCGATTATGCCCAACAAGAAAATTCCACACAAAAGGCACAGATCCAATCTCGTCGTCCTCCAACCACAAGAATCGGTGCAGAAACGCACCGGACTGTTTACTAACAAGCTCGGGAGTAAGAATCCGATTCTTAGGATGTTCACAGTTATACAGCACCATTGAGGACCAGTTTTTCCTCGGGTAAACAGTCTGTACCGCACCATCCATCTTAGTGGTTTCTTTAGGAGCGTACTCGTGATGAACGCACATGACGGCATACCGATCGTCGAGAATGGCAACGAGATCAGCGATGTCGGCGGTGTAGAGAAAGTCGCAGTCGATGAACATGGCCCAGCCGTGAAATCCGGAAAGGTACGGGGTCAGAAATCGGGTGAAGGAGAACTCAGTGCTCTCCGTTGGGTCCCGATCTCGCCAGTAGAGACCAGCGGCGCGGAGATCGGATTGGATGATGGGTGAGACCTCGAGGGGGATGGAGGAGTGTTTTAACAGAGAATGGCGGCATACTTCGAAAGCGGCATCCTCGCGGGGGTCGTAACCAATGAAGATCTTGAATGGAGGGTGAGTAGAGTTGGGAAGATGATCTGCGGAACCCATTAGAGAAGAATGGGAATGGTTTGGAGATCTGGGGATTGCGAGGGAGCGTGGGAAGTAGAAGTAGAGGGAGCGGCGGAGGACGGGAACGCGATCTGCGCCGAAGGCTTGAAGATCTGAGAGACGTAGGAAAGGCGAGGAAGAAAGGAATTGAGGAGTAAGGTTACCAGGGTGGTCAGATCGGCGGCGATCGGTTGCAGACATTACACGCGGATACGAAATAGGCCCGCTGTTCAGGACGAGTCCCTTCTGCGGACCGGTCGTGATACCCCATCCGGTCTAAACGCGGACCGGAGTCACCGCCCCGGTTAATTGAAGAGAAAAAAGCGGACGAAGGAGAAAGGATTTTATTTACTTTAAATAGTTTTCTTATTTATGAATATGTGGTGCTCTGACTGCCAACTCTTGATCGAGCAGATGAATGATAACTAAATGGCTTGTGTGGTCATTTACTCTATATTTTTCATTAACTTTTTTCACTTCTACCATTTCCTGTTAAACTAATATATATAGAGTAAATGACCACACAAGCGATTTAGTTATATATTTAATGCATCATTAACAAATTTTTCATCTAACTTGAGTCCCGGTGTAATTTTTTTAAAAAAATCATTTCGATTCAAATTAAAAATCATCTTGAGCTCCAATTTCAACAGACAGACATTGGGTGGACCAAACTTGGCACGTGTTGAGCTTATTTGGCCTTACTAATAAAAGCCGGCTCAGGTTGAACTTGTGATGGGTTTTTATTTACAATTTCATAGTTTTACCAGCTCATTAAATGTGTCAGTTCAGTGTGTGGGCCTTGAAAGAAATTTAATTTTTTATACCAAAAATCATTCTCATTTCCCTTAGTTAGGAAGAAAATTAAGTTAGGTTGATTTTACTTAAAATTAACTAGAATGAGTCTCTATATTACTTTTTTTCGTACCAAACAAATTAGCTCTACCAATTTGTCATGCTAGCTTTTGTCATACTGAAACAAAAACTTACTTTTATGCTTGCTTTAACTAATATTCAACAGCATTATAGTTGTTGATATAAAATATTAAAAAAATTATGTAATATGAATGGTTGAAAGGATCTCAATATGTTTAAACATAAGAATTTGAGTATGCATGCCGTAAATAAAAAAAAAATAAATAAATTAGCTCGAAAGTTTACAATCACGAACATTACCTATGAGACCTGGTCATTGGGCGGGTTGGGCTTCTCGTCAGTCGGGCCTTTCGGGTTTTAAATAAGTCAAAACTGGTTGGGGCTGGGTTGAGCCCGCTAAATTTCTACTTTTTCATAGTCAAGGTCGCTCATTCAAATGGGCTTATGACAACCTCGTATGACGACCCACCCAATGCCTAGATCCAAATTTCATCTCAACAAGATGAACCTAGAGATACCTAAATTAGTTCAATCCAAGCCCAATCAAGCTCGAAACAAAAAATTAAACCACATTTGAAGGATTTGAGTAGTTAATTTAAGGGTCAAATGAACTCCAAATTTGATGTACAAATAGTCAAAATGAGAGTCTCGATGAGAGGAATCTAATGAGAATTAGATCGCTCAATTTTGAGATTATTAAAGTGACAAATCATTAAATAAACTTATAGTCAAAGGGAATCAACATGAGTCGTTTGATCTGTTGGTTTTGGAAGATCCGTTCTTATGTTGATCTCATCCATCATGTTGGGGCACAAATTTTTACTGATGAAGCTATTAATTTGAAAAAAATTAGTTTGAGCCACAACTAGAAAATCAAACAAGCATCTCAATGAAAGAAGCTTGAGCCATAAGTAAACCTCACTTTTTTACCTCGACTGCGTAGATGTAAATCACAACCAAAGAATGAGTGTATGTCGCTTAACTTGACCCATACTAACATCCTAATGGTGATTTAGGATAAGAAAACTTTTAGGTGGCCAACTTTGTTGAAACTGAATGCAGAGAATTAAGAGTAATATCATCACCTCAAAGTTTTGGCCATAATACCGAAGCATGCTTTCATTTCAGAGAGGAGATCAAAATGTTGATGATTTGGCATGGGTACTTTGGTTAATTAATTTAAGCTACGATCCATCAAACCAATAATATACCTAGAGAGAACTACAAAACTAGAATCAAGAACTAGAGAATCCTTAGACTATTGGCAAAAAAGTAATAATTGTTGAAGGACCACTACTGGTCAACAAGTTCTCATTGTTGCACTTGAAAAGCTTTCACCGAAAAACTAATCAGTAAATCACTCCATCACCTTTGATATATAAAATTTTAGAAGGGTTCAAGTTCCTCATCAAAATTGTTTTATTGTTAAAACTAGATTTAGCAATCCTTTCTATAATGTAAAGAGAATCCCCGATGGAAAAGGTAGTTCATTCAAGATCATATTCTCCTGAACTTTCTTTGGTTTGGGGTTGACCATGGAATAATTACAATTTGTTATTAGATCTCTTTATGGCTTTGAAAATAATTTGGTGAGTGCCGAGGGGGCAATCACTCTCCGTATTATATTGGGAGTATTCCTTCTAGGAGATGACTCACATGATATAATACCTTGTTGTTAAGTTGGAATCGACATACAATTTCATCTTCCGAAGGCTTTTCCAATCAATTTTTGAGGTTGAAGTTTCTATTTATTATCTTAAAATGAAGTTCCCAACACCATATGGAGTTGGCATACTATGGAGGATCTTAGAAATGCCCATTGAAGACTTTCATAATTGAAAGTTTTGATCTCTAAGATAAAGATATATCTCAATGAGCTTCATGACGTAAGGACCTAATTTCTAACTTCTTCTAAAGTAAGGCACACCTTATGGATTGTACAACGTGGATTTTTTCTATCTAGGGAGAAAAAAAGCTAGAGCATATAAATTTTCTTCATAAAAACAATTGTTTGGTTGTAGTCCATTAAATATTTCCAGGGTTAATCCAATAGGAATGATACAACAAGATAATGAAGAATCTATTAATGATGATTCTACTTACTCCTAGAAAAATAAAGATTTGTACTATTACAGGATTATATCCTTTGAGATGAAGAATGCTGACACGACTAACATTTCATGAGCTAGTTTGTTAAGGACTTCATCAGACATACCATGGAGGTATGTATTGATGACATGCTAGTCAAGTGTGTGGAAACCTTTCAATTCCATGGAAAAAAAATTCATCTTAATGAAGACTATAACATATGCCTCAACCCTTCAAAATATGTCTTCAAAGTCATTTTAGGTAAGTTTATCAGATTCAAAGTTACCGTAAAATTGAGGCTAATCCTAAGAATACCCAAGATCTCCAAAAGACAATGCTCCCAGAAGCATAAAAGAGGTGAAAGGATTATACAAAAAGACAAGGCAAGGCAAGGAGACAAATATCTCACATTCTTTAAAATACTAAGCGAAACTCAAAATACTAGATTTTGGTGGACAGATGAATTCCTTGATAGTTTTGATAAGCTCAAAACATACTTGGATTCATCACCTCTATTATCAAAACCAATATAAGTCAAGCTATTGTATCTCTATCTTGTAGTGCCTTCATATTAGAAAATTTTAGTCCTAAACAAGGAGGAGTAGAAGTTCAACGATCAATCTATTATATTATTAAATGATCGTAAAAAACTTATCATGAAGTAAGTTAGTCAATCACACAAGTTATGTGTCAAATAATATGTAGTATTAGAGTCTACATATTGATCCCATGAAGAAAGGGCTAACAATTATTCTTATCAGAAAATCAATAGTTTACTAACTTTATGAGAGTATCTTGGCTTGACCACAATAGAGGGTTGAAGTCCAAAAATCCTAACAAGAAAATAAAACACGATCATAGATAGCGAAAAAATAGAAAGCAAAGAAAATCTTAGTGTTATTCAAGAGTGATGAGACTCATGCCTCAATAATTCAGGTATCATGGTTGTTCGTAGTGTTACTTAATATTTTCCTATGTCACAGTTGTCAAATGGGGATAACTTTCTTCTTATTCCTATATCTAGGTCAAAAAAAGAATTAAGAACCTATGAGGTAAAGTTTGATTAACCCTATGTCATTTCCTAGGATTCTTTTGATCCATAATCAATGATGTTGAATCCTATTAAAATATATCTATTATCTAAGGATTCTTTGGTTAACCTTTTTGTTCCACTACACAATGAATATGGGTCATAGATTATGAAAGATATTACATCCTAATTACCTAGATTAGGAGTAAATGAAATCCATATAGTTAACCAATAAAATAAATCCATGAAAGCTAGGAAATTGCTACATGAAAAAAATCTCAGAAAAATCATGATAAAAGCACTAACACCACATCAGAAATACACAAAATAGAATTTAGACACATATAGTTGAGAGAACCACAAATATGACAAACAAGTCATCATTAACAGAATCAAATGAATGTAAAACTTATATAAAAAAAGATTATTTTATCCGTAGCTGCCTCTCTCATACAAAGTTCTGAAAAATAACTTAAGAACAAAGGAGAAGCAAAAAATAGTCGTGTTGACCTCACTTTTGGTTGAGGTCTAGTTTTTCTTCTTTAGTAGCTTGGGGTCTAGCCATAGGAATCTTCTGTTGACTATTCCTAGAGAACTAGAAAAGGAACTCTCACTATTAGAAATTCCAGACACTTCTTTGCTCAACTTGAAGTTCCACATATTGATCCTAACCTCTAACACTTAGTAGGTGGGGTCAATATGGGAGAGATCAAGATGAGTCCCCATAGGACTACCTGGCCTTAGGTCAACCCTCTAGTGGCATGGTTATTATTGCTCTCACTCACACACTTACACATTACACTTCCACTCACTACCTTAACCCTAAGCCTACCGGACTTTGACCCTTTGGGAGACTCATGTAGATGGTCCCCTAAACCTACTAGCCCTAGGCTAGGGTTTAGTTAAGACCAGTACATGGATGAAAAAAAGTAGGGAATTCTATTAGTCCATGGCTCAAGTAGGGTGATTGACACCCCAATTTCACCAAAATATCAATTTAGTCTTTTCCCCCCAAATCTACCTAATTTACCAAACACCCTTGAAATTCCAAAATTCCCAAAATTCCCAAAATTACCCAAAATATCTAAATTTGTCCAAAAATCATGTCAAAGTATTTCAAACTACTCAAATTGCCCAAAAACATCCTAAAATTTCCAAGTACACCTCATTTGGCCAAAATTACCAAAATACCCTTGGAGACCCAAATTGTCCCAAAACCTTCTAAATCACTTCAAATGCGCCCAAAATCAATTTGAAATATTTTATTGAGCTTAATT